GTTCCTTGCCTTGTCCTTCACGGTCGGCCTGAGCATGTGTGTGAGCCTTTGTACTGATGGGCAGAAGCTGAGACGGCTGGAAAAGAGGATCGATGCTGAGGAAGCAGAAACTTGTCGGTTGGTGGTGTCTGGCCTTGCGATGGAGTTCCTCAAGCGACGGCGGTGGGGACCAGGGGGGCCCTACAGGCGTGCTGTGGCAATCCGGGCATTCTGACACAGGGTATCCTGCAGAATGTATGTACACAGCAAAAAGTATCTAAGGGTTTGATGATGGAGTTCTGATGACCGAGTCGTGGGATCTTAGCGGCCTGCTAAAGCCACCAGCTCCCACAAGGGATCAAGCCATACTAAACCTTTGCCGGTGTTGCTAATGACCTGCAGCCAGAAGTGCTGATTTCCGACCGCCCCCCTGGCTGCGGTCTTTACTTTCAGCAAACCTAGAGTAGAGTGTCCTTGAAGGAGCTCCTGCTTCTTTTGCTGCCCTGTCATCGACCTGGCCTTCTCCATCCTGGCATGCATGCTCATGCTGATGACCCGCAGTGATCCCTTCTGCTTTGAATGGCATTCCGTGTGTCGCACATGTTTGACCTTTCTGGTGGTTTGCATGCTCTTGCTTGCCCTTCGCTGCTTGAGCTGGCTGTACTGCGTGGTGAAGTTTGCCTTGGCCTCGACTGCCTCATCGAAGCAGACCTTTGAGATAAAGTTCGCTGCATTTCAGGAGGACGCAGTGACACATTTGTGTGTGGCTCTTGAGGGGGACCTCCTGTGGTTTGAGAACATCGGGAACCTACCACGAGGCTGGCCTCCGAGGGGCTGGATGCAACCAAGGTATTTGGTCCGCTCTCAACTGGAGGCACACCACAAAGAAGACAAGGATGACCAGCCTATTGTGGCATGGAGCCTCCAGATGTACTGGTGCTGGTTTGCGCAAGGCGAGGCGCGTGTGGGGGCGTGGGTGCCGCAGTCAATGCAGTTTCCAATAGATCCGGCCCATGTCCACGACCTCCACACGTGGCTCGCAGCAGAACCACATCGTCGAATGTTTCGCTACGAAGGTGTGGCCGTGACAGCCTCTGAAGTGCTCGAATGGGGCTTCGAGCACATCCATGATCGTCTGTCAGAGCAACTTTCGTCGAGGTCGGCTGCTTTTGAGCGAAGGCAGATATTCACCCTGCACTGCGAAAGACACGGATCCACGATGGAGATCTTCTTGTCGATGATGTCCGGCAAGACGCTGACGCTCCACGCCTCCATCGGAGACCTGGTCGCAGATTTGTGCCACCGCGCCGCCCTATTGGGAACCGACGGCTCGAAGGTCGAAGTCGTCTTGCCAGACGCAAGACGCCTGGGCAACCTTGATCCCAAACTCCCTTTGTGCGAGGCCTTCAGTGATTTTTGTGCGACCGGAGACTGGAACGTCTAGCCAGGACACTTCGGTTGGAGAGGGCATCGCAGCTGCAGCGTGCAAGCAGCGAAGCTGCGAGCAGGCTGCAAACTGGCCCGTGCGGAAAGCTTTCTTAAATGCCTGGGAGTTGGTACGGAACGAGGTTGAACTTTATCGCAGTAGGTTCCCTTAGAGTTGTCTAGAGTCTTTAAAGACACCTATCGGGCTTTCCTGATCCGCTAGTTTGATCTGGTCTGCTAAGTAGAGTTATTACAGGGTCGAGAGTCGCAGCCTGGCCTGCCACCCAGAAGTGCAGCCGAAGTATGGCAGGTCTGTTCTGTTGGGTTTCCGTGTGGTTTCACGGTTGGGTTTTTTCTTTTGCGATGTAGGGTTGATGAGGATACTGGGTGGCTGGTGGAAGATGGCTTGCTCGTCAAGCTCGTCTCGGGGTGCATGTCGCCGTTTCATTTGGAAGCCACCAGGAACAGATCAAGCCTTCTGTCAAACTTTGCCGCAAAGTGATTAGGTGGATTTCGCGTCAGGTCGTCTTGGGTAATGGTCGGAAGTGTGGTCGGGTATAGAGGTGGTCGAGGAGATTTATGTGCTTCCAAGAGCATGCAGACACCAATTCAAGCGAATCTGTACAGGTGCCATCAACGGATCGTCGCTCAACTCTGCAGTGTTGGATGGTTGCTTCGCTCATGGCATCGGTTGAATTATGGACAGGAATCTTCACCAAGACTCGCAGAAAAGCAGCCCGCAGCTAGGATTGTAAATGATGGATAGTTGTAGCTGCTGTTGTAGGCGACGTTCACTCATGACACCCTCCAATAGGCTTAAGATGGTTGTACATGTGCAGAAATGAGATGTCGAGCCGAGAGTTCTTTCACATTTTGAATGCCGGCATGAAGACCAGTGGCCAGGGTCCTCTGCGGGCAGCCGTAGAAAGCAGGTCGCCCGTGGATGGATGTTGCCGTGTCAAGAATGACTAACGTGAATGGAGGTGATTGCCTGAAGACGCAATTTCTGAAACCGTCAAGTTGAGACGCCTCGTCCGTCCAAAGGTTAAGACTGCCTCGTCCAAGAATTTGCCAAATCGGCAGAATGCAGCTTTTGTCATCGTTTGTCTGTTTCTGACAGTTTGTCCTGCAGAGCTGCCTTCGAGACTCTACAATGAGCTTGACGGGAGTCGCGCAGCAAGTTGAGGAGATCCTGCAGAAACGTAAAAACAAAGCTTGCTCCCAGTTCCGAGTGGTGGAATCGGTGTAAAGGACAAAGAACGAAGGCCGTGAGATTGGAGGCTTCCGTGTGGAGAAGAAGCTCTCGCACCGAGTGGACGACGCTTCAGTGCTTAAGGAGCGAATGCCGGAGGGAGGTTTTAGAACTTGGGGCGGGGAATTTAGAGCAGCCTTGTAGCAGCATCATCGTAGCCCTATAGAAACCCCAAAGTAAACCTTATTATACCCGCATATGCATGAGCGTCAAGGAGCTATGCTAATACGATGGTCAATGTTTGTTCGCAGGTGCTGCCGAGAAGCTGTCGGGGATGTAGGCAGAGTTGCGGAGGAGAGCCATCCCATCTGCGGTTTGAATTGAACTGTTTCGCCAGGGCTGCACGTGGACACTTCCACGGCGAGACTGTTCCGTCCGAAGCCTAATCAGGGCGAACGTCGTAGGATCGGAACGCGTCCTGGACGCCAGTCTTTTCAGCACCTTCGCCTCGATTCGCCACTGCGCGCTCTTCATCGCCAGGCACGCCCGTAGGTGTAGGCCTCCCAGGAAAGCCATAACTTCCATGCAACACGGATTTGCAGACATAGGCGGAGTGTCAGGAAGGTTCGGAAAAAATCGTCCGAGACTGCGTGCCATGCGCACCGCCACGGTGTCGTCCTTCCTTCCGACGCCCAGCTCGGCGGAGGTCGTCGGCACCGGGGAAGTGCTGAAAGTGGGCACTGCTTTCGCCCGGGGCACATTTGGCACTGTGCACCCGGTGGAAGGCAAGGTGAATGGCGCGGATGCAGTGGTGAAGCTGCCGCGAGTCCACAGGTTGCCTTTCCACGTCAACGACGTGCTCCTTCTGAACGAAGTGGACGATGAGAATCGGGTGTGTCGTCGCGAGGAAATGCTGCAAGAGGAAGCGAAGGTCCACCAGTCTCTGCGCGATTGCAGGGGCGTCGTGCCTTGGCTCTGCAACGTCCGGGCATGGATCGGTGGTGTGCAGGTAAGGGGAATGGCCTTGCAGAAGATGGACGGCACTTTGCGACAGCTTTGGACGCACAGCAACAGTGCTCAGCTGAACGTCAATCAGAATCGTTGCAACAGCATCCGGTTGGCAGGCATCCTACGGTCCGCGGTCAACATTCTCTGGGCATTGGACAGGATGCACGAGTGCGGCTTCTGCCACATGGATATAACGCCGGAGAACTTGCTGTGGAGCGAAGCCCACTGCCAGTTGTACCTGGCGGACTTCGGCTCAGCTAGGCGACGGTCAGGGTTCACATGGCCGGCATTGCAGGATCTGCCCGAAAGAGCCAACATCCGTGGGAGCTATGCTTTGGCTTTCAGAGGGGTGTGGCGGGTGCTGCCGCAGCTGTATGATCAGTTCGATAGCTGCTCCTTTGTTCGCTTTAATCTCCGCGATAAGACCCCCAGCGACAAGAAAGTCGAGCTGCCGCTGGCCGACCGCCGCCTCGACTACTTCGCACTCGTGATCATTCTGCGCAACCTGCTTGGAGAGGAAGGGATTGTCGCTGGCGGCCGCCATGATCCCTATCCGGAAGGCGAAGCAAGGACGATTCCGCACTCCTTCGATCCACCGGAACCCGAGGAGCCATGGGGCCGGGCAGATCCGACGTGGCCATCACTTCTGGAGGCGCGTGTGCAGCTGCGGGCCTTGACCAGTAGGCTGGAGGCGCTTCCACTGCAGCCGGAGCACGAGCTCAAGCAGAAGGGAGATGCCTTCTTGGATGATGCTTTGAGGAGGAGCCTCCAGGATTGGCAACCGGCAGAGAGTCGCGAGAGGCTCAGGAGGCTTCAGGAGCTCGACCTCTGGCTGGGGATGCATGGCCCCGGACCCAGCGGACCTTTCGTCTTCTGGCAGAGAGATTCCTCCGGCACGGCCGTGGACATCATGTCCTTCGACCTTAGGGAGCTGGGCGACCAGCCGCAGTACTTGGTGCACGAGGCGAAGAAGGAGCTCGCCGCCCGCTTGGGCTGCTGTCCTCAACAAATCAAGCTCTGGGCTTTGCTGCGGCCCTGCTTCGAAAGTTTGAAGGAGGAGGAGGTCTTGCCAGGTATGCGCCCCGAGCAGCTGGATTCGCCCCTCCTGCGCGTGGAGGTGATGCCAGTCGAGCAACTCGAGAAGCGGATCGAATGGATCGACTTCGAGGTCTCCGAGCACTTGATGGAGGTCAGCTACGAAGAGGTCTGGTACCTGCTGAACAGCCGCCACCTGCACCCCGACTGCATCTCTCTGCGGGACCTCATCGATGCAGGGCCCGGGCCATGCCGTGCGGCGCTGGAGAACAAGGCAGATCCCAACCAGATCTTTGACCGGAGAAACAGAGACGCCAACAGGGTGGGATACTATGGAGATGGCAGAGGCACTACACCCCTGACTTACGCAACAAAGAAGATGCCTTATGCCTGGGACAACCGCGGCTGGTTTCGCCACGAGAATGCCAAGGT